CAAAACAAAACTACGCCTGACTTTTGGTCTTCCTTCAGAGTCTAAAACCGACAAATCGTTTGCGATTTCCTTGTGCTACAGGTGGTACACAGGAAGGGTTCAAAATATCGATTGTGAAAAACTAAATCTTGATAGATTGTTTATGGTGAGGCTGAAAAAGCGCTGTGTGAAGCTCTGGATCAGTAGGATTACTTCGATATTAGGCACAGCTAAGTCAGGTACCTGAAAAAAATATTCTTGATAAATCCAACTGATGCTCAATGCGCTATGACACCAACCTATTTGGACAGGAGTCTACAGAAGTATGTTCTGTTATACGGTGGAAACCAATATTGTTGCGGTATTGTTTAACGTTATTTTGCGCTTGAAACTTGATTGTTGCTAAATAAAGCGAAATTAGTCTGATCCGAAACTTCGTATTTAAGCATGGGTTGTTGTGCGGCTTAGCTGTTAACTACGGTGAAGCTGAATTACATAGCGTCCTATTGATTACATTTGTAATTTAAGCTAATCCACTCAATTTATAACTTGGTTCTCTCCTGATCCAAAATAAGTACCTGTACTTCGTCATTCTATCATCTTTCTCTCACTCATTGTAATCTCTTTGCTATTTATGTTTAAGCAGTCACTAGTTACGTGTAGTATTGCATTTTCAGGTGCTAAATTTTTGGAAACGCAGCGGATTACCAACTTGAAATGTTCAAGTGTTGCAGTTTATTTTTGAGTACCGAATCATGCTAAAGGTATGTTGTTCATTTATCTGATACATCTCCTCAGGATGATGATTGTACCACTCAGCAGAACGCTTCTTCGGAATGCCTAAACTACTCTTTTCGGAGTAAAGCACCAGGATGTAATGTACCACTGGAGCCAGGAAACCAGGTGCCTGGAAACTCAATGAACTCCCAACTGGCAGCTTGCGAGTGGATGACAGCACAGACGACTTCGAATCCCGAGGATTTGGTAACATCTATGGCTGGTTTGAGTTTTGAAGAGACTCGAATGTTGTGGAGCAATGGGAGCATCCTGCCTACTTCCCAAGATGCTCCGGCAATCAAATCTCTGTCGCTTAATCCATTGCCTTGGGAACTGCCGCACGCCACCTCACAATCCATCCCGATGGGTCCAAATAATAGAGAACAATCCACTGGTAATAATTTCTCGGAATCTGGTATGGTTGAAGGTGGACTTTTGATGTCTCCTGGATCGAAAGATATGGCAGCACTAGGGATGCAAATGGTAGATCAGGTACTCAGTAATTCTCCCGGCAATGGAGGTAAGTAGTTCTAATTTTTCCTGCATAATTTTTACATTGACAGCTCTCTTTTTACGGGATTTGACGGAAAATTACATGGGTTCTTTCCATGCAGCTTCTGCTGCTTCAGCCTTGACTTATCCCAATGCGCCTACTTCTGCCTTTCAATTTGAGCCTGAAAGTCGTTCCAACGAACCAGAACTATACAGTGGTACTGCCTTACCACAGTCAGTAGGCTGCTCTGTCTCAAACTGTTTCAATCCATCACAGTTCTATATGCGTCCAGGTTCTGGTACACCACGACCTGTAGTTCCGTCTTTGCAGATGTCCTACTCCATGATGCCGAATAGATCGTGTGATGGTGTGCAGTATAATAACATGAATGGAGCCGAAGCTATCGGCTCAGAACCACTTGAAGGCTGTGTTCCACCGGATACGCTTCTCACACATATCATCCGAGCCCAATCGGGAAATGAGACTCCGGTTTCTAATATCGTGTCGTCGTCCACGACTGGGTATCCAATGAATAACGTGCCTAGTTCTCAAAATGGTATGGCCGATCCACAAAGACCAGCAAGCCAACCTGAACCGGGTCATACTTTTCCTATGTTTGCCCCACCGGATCACTTGTCTCGTATGGATTCCACTGGAAAAATAAACTACGGCCCAATACAAGGACTCGGTAGTCAGTTGTGCCAGTTTCAAGCAATGTTTCCAAACACACAAGCCAACTTGGGTAATTCCTCGGCTCCAGAAGTTGCGGTGTATCACAAAATGAACGCACATCAGTCGGGTGGCGTTGTGGGAACCGCAACCGAGGCGGAAGGAATTTTTCCTGGTACTGCGATACCTTCCGTTTTCGGGCAACCTACTGAAATGACCGCTCCAAATGGATGTACCGGGTACTCCTCCACACCGTTGGAATATTTATCTGGTGGTCCATATACCGATCCAAATACCGGTCGTCTGTCAGAACAGCAACATATAAGTGAACAAGCGAACAGCGCGTTATCTATTTCATCGCAGTTTGGTGAGTGAATTTTTACTCAATAACTATCAACTATCAATTTGAGTTGTTCAGTCGTGATTAGTTTGTTTCCTCCATTCGGGGTTGCACAGCACTGTAGATTGTAACTCATCAGCGACAAGTGAAACTATAATAACGATATACGTAAGATAGTCAATCAAGCCATTAATTCCAGCAGTTAGCTATTCTTCGATCATCTGATCAAATAGTGCTCGTTGACTGAGTTATACAGTTTATGCATAAACTCAGAGCTCAACCCTGAATGAGTGGTCTGTTTTTCATGTCTCAGGATCTTTGTTGTTCATCACTTGGTGTGTTTTCCTTATCCGAATATTAAATGTCTCTCTTATTTGCTCTCATCAGGACCACCAACATACGGAGCGTCGGTTGGTGTACCAAAGTATCAACCAACTCCACTTTACCAGCGCGGGCCCTCACCTGCTCCAGGCGGATCAGATGTCCCTGGGAGTGCGTGCGGTGTTGCAGCGGGGGGCTACGCACATCAGATTTATGGTCAACATACAGTGGATTCGTTAGGTGGGGCGCCAGTAGGCAGCTCTGCAATCGGGCAGCACTATTTAGGGGGATCCTTAGGAAACCAACCTACAGGGCCGGCAGTTTTCTCACAACTTCCATCGGGAGGCTTATATCAGTCTTTAGTACCACCAGGGGAGCAAGCAACCCAATTCACCCAACAAACAACAGCACCTGAACAGCAGCAGCAGCAGCAACAACAACAACAACAACAGTCGGCAGCTTTGTTCGCACATACCTTCCAGCTTCTAACTGCAGCAGCTGCTGCTCGCAATCTCGGTACGGGAGTTTGTGACCCACGGATTTCCGGTCCAGGCCCTCAAAACACCAATCCTCCCATGGGGACTCCCGCAGTCGAGAACGTTGCTACCGGCGCTACCCCATCTGCTCTGAACCCATCCATCCAATTCCCCCAGTCTATGCTTCCAACCCACCTACAGGTATGCTTAAATTGTGTAAATATCCTACTTTTCACTCTCACACACACTCACACTTAACTGAACAGGGTCTCAATCTAGATATGTTGGACATTCGTGAACTACTTGAACAAGCTATATAGCAGCTGTTCACAACGAATGTTCTTAATTTCAACCAATATAGAATAAAAATTAAAAGAGTCATCAAATGAAAGCAATTAATGATTTCATACCTTCGTCGTATTATCAACTGATTGTCGTATAGTTGAGCTTAGGATGAAGGTTATTGAAGTTTATGAGACGTCCCACGGATTATACATTCCTTCATAGTTCCATCTGCCTATTTAAGTAACCGTTCTCTCTAATGTATCAAGGATTCAAGACATTGCTTGCTGATGCAATCATTTTGACTTCTAATGTTAAGCAAACGATCTAATGTTTGCTTTCAAACCACCACCCGTTTCACGTAGCGCTATTGTGCTCGGTTTTTACATGAGTATGTACCAATCTGGGGCTGCAATATTAGGTAGTTTTTCAGTAATCTATTCAGCGGTGCATTTATTGCGGTCCTGTTCTTCGTTACCCACCATCCGAAAGATTATTTTTCCACCCTAGTGACTCCAGGATTATCAGAATTTATTACGATATGGCATGTTTAATTCGGAATATTTCACTGTACATTTGGCGTCCACTAATCGTTTGTCAGCCCAAATGTTGGTCATCTTGTTGTTAGGGTGAGAAAGAACTGTTTTAGGATAAGAACGAGCTGTGTGAAAATACTGAAGTATCATAGTGAAACTCCGTGGATAAACTCCTACATTCATATCGTGCTACTTTGAATAAAATGGCGTTGAAGTTTAGTGATTTACCATTTCACGTCAAGAATATGCTGCTAGTATGTACAGGATTATGTATCTATTGCCCTACCTGTGTATTGGGATACTTGAAATCGTCAAAATGTCTACAACTCAGACAATGACTTCTACTTAGTTTGTCTGTTATTTGTAATGTGTCACATGCACATATTTAGTGACAGTCCCGTCTGACCAATTTCTTTTACGTTCGAACTACGACTGTGTATCTCTTGTGCTTACATGATGCCGTTTATCAATCTGGTTATCTAGGTTGTCAAGTCAAAAAATTGATTTGCATGACAATGACAATGGTAGCTTACGTTGCGGCCAGGCTCATTTCTATGGACTTGTTTTATTCTTCACTGTGCTCAAGTTGACGCCAGGTTGATTTAGATCGAGAACACTGATATGCACTGCAAATCACAACTTCTCATCTTTTTTAGGCTTACTCCACACAGTCGTTTTTACCGCCCAGTGCACCTCCTGTCGAAAGTCCGCTGCCACGTGGTCCTGCAGGTACTCCAATAAATTCCCTCGACGGTCGATCTCAGTGCACTGGATTACCTGGGACAACCAGCTGTGGCGTTGGGACTGGACCACCGCCAGTTTCTTCACCACTCATGTACCCTGCGTTGCAACCCCCAGGCATGTATCCAGCAAACGATTTGATTGCAAATACCGATTTCCAGCAGTTGAGCATGAATTTCGGGGCGCAAAATACAACAAACCCGATCGCCAATAGGGTGTTTCCTCATTCCACCATTCATCCATCAGCTCAACCCCCAGCCGGCACGGGAGCTGCGGTAAACCGAATGCCCTTCATTCCAATTGGTACGGTGGAAACACAATCCCCACCACCAAGGCCATCTGCTACTTTTGCTAGTCTACGAAATGCAATCGTCCCGACTAACTTCCGTGCTCAGGGTCCATCTTCCAACATGTATGCCTCGCGCCGCGGTACAAGCAGTGGGGGCGGTGCCCCGAATTCCTCCACCTCGTCATCTGTGCCAAATCCCCGCTTTTCTCATCGTGCTCCTCCACCGAACACTTTTTCACAACAGCTCAGTTTACCATTCATGCCTCCACCTCTTCCACCTTATCATGCTCGACATCCTTTACACCAACCACCTCCCGTTCTTCCACCACCAGGCTTCTTGCCCCCGTCCACACTTGCACAGCGACCTGAAGTAACAAATTCTGTGAACAATTCTTTCTTCAACGCTGGTCGTTCTAGCTACGCGGAGGTTGTTGGCGGCAAGTTTTCTAAGGAGCACCATCCCACAACACTTACCCATCCCGTGAATCCAGCAGTGGCGGCCGCTTTGGCTCTCGCTGCTGCACAACAGCCTAATGGCGTGGCTGCGGGCTTTGGTGTCCGCCAGCCGGCAACATCTCATCCACATTTTCAACAACCGTACTATAATCTACCCATAGCATCAGGTCCCAACACAGGATATCACACCGGTCCGACTACAAATTCCTATCCTCAGTCAAATCCATCACAAATGAACCCTTATGTTCATACAGGTCACTCGAATCCTATGGTGCCTTTAGAGAGGAGCCGATTACTCGAAGAATTCCGGTAGGTCAAACGTTATCCACAATTTCATTGGACACCGTTTACTCTTCATGCATCTATTTGTTAAACTGGTATGCTCAGGGCTTTCAGATTATTTCTACGAGCCGCCTTTTCTTGCTAACAAGTCCATATAATGAATCGGTAGAACCACTTCAATATCAGCAAATGATTTGTTATTACATTTATTGCTATATAGCTTATTGTTTGTTCGTTACATCACTCACATACCTCATACACGAGAATCCCAACATGTACAGGGTGGACACTGCTACCGGATGTCTATCGGATATTACGAAATTGCACTGCTATGAGTAAAATGATTTGGTTATCCCTTCGCTTTATTTACCATCTGTTCCGCTCTTCGTGACTGCTTCATAAAAGAAGACAGTCATCATCACTATGCAGCAAAATACGGTAAAAAAAGCCTCTCCGATAGCTAACAAACCGACCTTACAACGGCTAATCGCACTAGCCAACTTGGTCAGGTTCAAATTAGACCAGTCGGAGTTTTAAGCTATGTTCAAGTTCAGTGGTATTTCTTGTTCATATATCGAGTGGTGCTCGTGCATCTACTCAATATTCTTGCAACCTCAGTCTATATGAGTTTTCTATCTCCCCCTTTAATTTGCTCTCAACATTCCAATCTTTATTCTGCTCATTTATCCAAATGGACAACCCAACGATCGCAACCAAAACCGTCGCACGAAACTGCATAGTTAATGGTTGTAAAAACTTAAATCGAATCATGTCTTATTTGCGACAACGGCCGACAATCTCTGAATCGACTTTTCAACGTTACCGGTATTCAAACAGCGATCCTAAGAGGGTGGAGCTAAAACCTGAGAGCCTAATGCTTTAGTTCATGCCATATCAAATCTTCCGTCTCTATACTACGTTATTCTTTTTGCAAGTAATCTCTACTCAAACGCGAGATTTTCTGTATAGACAGTCAAGTTACGTTTGTTGTGGCTAGTACCGTATGGCCCACCTGAAACCGTCAAATCATATTGATTGTTTAATGGATCGGCTGAAAGAGTTGTCCTTCCAAAATTACCGTGTGTTGCAAATGAGGTTATTGTGACAGAAATACATTTCCGGGGTACAAGTATATAAATGAACTGACAAAAGTTACCGGATACGCATGCCTGGTGAGCGATAAGAAGCGCGAATCCGGTCATGTGCTTCCAGGAAAATTGCATCTAGTCATTCATATACTGCTTACAACATTATATATCTATATTTGATAATAAGTATTATGTGAATGACTGGACAAAATTCCCCTGGAAGCACACGACCGGTTTCGCGGTTCTTGCCGCTCCTCAGGCATGCGTACCCGGTAATCTTTTGTCAGTTCATTCAAATACTTGTACCCAAGAAGTGTATTTTCGTCACAATAACCTTGTTTACAACACCGGGTGACCATTGGATAGACAGCTCTTTCATAGCCAGTCCATTGATATATATATATATATATATTTCTATCGCAGTCTCTACCGAGGTAGCCCTATCCACCGCCTTTCTGTGGTAAACGTGTTTTCCCACCAAAGTAAGAGGACGAAATTCCATTGTCCGGGCTATAACTGGGTCGGTGAACCACTGATAGGGGAGTTGCTTAAAACCCCCGATTCTAAACCAACGAAGAAGTGGCTTACGAACTACACCCGACGTTTTGGTTATGGCAGCTGTCATCAATTCGATTGGGCACCGAGGTTTGTTCGACTCCTTGGACGTTGAACCCCGCTCAAATAGCGTATGATCCGATGAACTACGGTTTTTCACTCTACCCCACCGCCTTGTGGGTCTGGCTTCCGTTAGTCAAAGACTCCGGTTGTGAATTCCCCAAGAAAATTCACCTGCCTTTTCCTGGACAACCTGGCAGTATTCCGCTTACAAAATAAATCGTAAAACCTCTTATTATAAAGATTATTGTTCCATAATTTTCTTTTGTTGCTGTCTGGATTCATGGGTGTTTGAAATAGGTATATATCACACGCGTTTGAGTCCCGATTTCGTTCGAAACAAATCAAGACCACGAAAGGAGATCCGTCATTAGGTCATAGGTGCGGTGCTACTAGATTGCCCAGGCAAAATAGGTGCATTTCTCCGAGGAATTCATAACCCGAACCTTTCAGCTACTCTATTCCTGGGCGAAAAGCGGCGAGGTGATGCCTGAAAGCCACAATCTAATTGGAGGCTGGAGTCCAGTTCATGCGGTTGTAAACTCACCCACCTAGGCCCATCATTAGCGGTTTACTGGTGCTGACATTCAATACATGCAATACAAGATATAGACTTTCAGGAGCACAAATTACTGTGATACATGAGGAAGAAACCGTCGCAGATTAAACGATCGACATGAACGAGCTATCCTTGAGTGAATTTTCAATTTTGTTTGGTGTGCTTTAGATATTATTCGCTTTCAAAAACTTAAATCGTGTAAGGAGGACTGATGAATAAAGACTGGTTTGTCTCAATCAATTTGCTTTTGATAGTTTTATAGTTTTATAATAGAAAACCCGTTGTATGGGTGTTCATGCCCTCATCTAGGGTTTTCTATATCAGAGATTTGCATTTGACGGTAGGAAAACTCATCTGATTTGGGTCCTTGACCTTTGGAATTTGATGACTTTTGGGAATTTTGATTCATTTCTACAGCTGATGAACCGTTTGTCGTCATGGTGTAATGTTTTTGGCAGATTTGTCTCTTATTTATTTAAACAAAGAACACAACACAGCAAACGAGCACGATTTAATTTCGGAATCATTTCACTGCATCTCAACTGGTGCTTATTGCAGAATACAAATCAGTTGATAAACTAACATGGTGGAAGAGTGAATTGACACCATGTGATGTATAAACTGATTTGTATTCTGCAGTAAGCACCAGTTGAGATGCAACGATATGATTCCGGTATTAAATCGTGCTCGTTTGCAGTGTTGTGTTCTTTGTTCAAGTTTATTTCGGGAGATAATTGTTTTACTTATTTATTTTCATTACTCCACCATTAGGAATGCACGCCTGCCGTATTTGACCCTACGAGATCTGACCAACCACATTGTCGAATTCGCTCAAGATCAGTATGGCTCCCGTTTCATACAGCAAAAACTGGAACATGCGAGTGCCGTTGACAAGACTGCAGTATTTCGCGAAATCCTCCCGCACGCCTACAATTTGATGGTGGACGTGTTTGGCAATTACGTCATTCAGAAATTCTTCGAATTGGGGACACCTGAACAAAAACAGGTTGGTTGATCATACTTTTGTTTCGTTGTTGACTCACGAAGTGTGTAAACCAGTTACTCGGCTCTGATGTGATACTTCGTTGACATCCGCTTGTGGAACGGTCTGTGTTCCGACGTAATAAAACATGCATCTAGATAAAGGAGTACGTTTGCTAAAAGATAACATAATGATGGCGGTTCTCGTGACTAAAGACACGCCCCACCCCCAAATTTTTTTAAGTAATCGACTATTCAGAAAAGTTCTGTGCATGGTTGTGCGACTAACAGACAGGAGCAGATGTAGCGAATTGTTATACCGCATGTGTCTATTCGCATGACTTGACATAACTGAAATGTAAGTATATTTCAGCTTGCAAAGTTATACAAATACAAATTCTGACCGGAAATGATGTGTCTCTGCTCATTCTTCGGAATGTATTCTTGAATCCTCTATCATGTTTGTCAGAGATTGGAACATCTTTTAATCACAACCCAACATACAAGCACGACAGAAAGCCACTACTGTAAGTGGTCACGCGACATCAGGTTTTTCAGAACCTAGATAGTTTTTAGGTTCGAGTTGGGGAGGCTGGCAGTGGTAATTGAAGGACTTCCGGGTAGTGATGAAATGCTATCGCACAAATCTCAAAATCATGACACTCTATTCATGTGGCTGCTACCATGGACAACTTCCCGACGTAAATGATAACTTTGCATAATGATTATCCCAAGACCATGTATGAAGCGGTTGTCATAGTCCAATACCCTATGGTGATGAAAATAGGAATATTAATAAATAGGTAACGAAAACAGATCACGGTTCTCAGATATATTCTCGGTCAGTTTTAGGTGCAGAGTTTTAGTTAATCGCGGTCGCTCACTGGTACACGTGGATGACGGCCGAGTGGTCTTTAGTTGAGTGCAATCACGAAAAGGAAGAACGGACCGCGAAGCGGCACCCCATAAGTGACTAGTATTCTATCTGGGTTCAGATTTGAGATTTAAAGGTGGTTGGGTTTTGTAGAAGTCCTTAGTGTTGAATAGGAAACTGTTTGGACGGAGCTCACAGAACCCGTCAGGCCGCGCGCGGATCCGCATCACGATACAAGCACGCTCGCGACGCCCAAGGCAAGTCGAGTCCGGATTGGATGACAATAGAACGAACCAGACAATAGTTGTCCAATCAGCCAATCGGATAGTCAGGGTTGAAATCTGATTGACGCTTCACCATGTGGTTCTCGTCTGCTCTGTTTACTATTTGTATGAGCGTGTCGCAGCAAGATCATAAAATACACTCCGATTGTTGTTGTTGTTGGGTTCTAAGCAAGAGTATTAGTTTCGATCATGGGTCTAAGCCGAACATAAAGGAAACCGACGTTGCGCGCACCTCGAGAACCGAATTTCGATCCGAAAGTAATCTAGCAGAGGTAAGAATTTATGGAGAGCGAACTTGTGGAACGAAGGGAAGCGGGTCAAAATCAATTGGGTAGAATAAGGGACATATTAAATAGATATTTAAAAAGAACGTTGAAGCACATGCGGAGATGAGTCTGATATCGGAGGCAAGAAGCACCCTAGTGACACTGCAGTCGTGACCGATGTTGAAGAAATCCGGGACTACCGGTTCCCGGGGAACGATCAAGACAAGATCCTATCCACTAGGACGGGGATAATTCGCTTTCTGAGCAAACATTGTCACGGCACGAGAGACGGCTGAAATCCGAACGTGGGTAATTTCAGCAACAGAACTTCGTACTAGACGCGGTCTAAGCCCTATAAAATATTGAACGAGACCAAATGAGTTTTCTCATATTTGTCGAGTATAGTCGACCATGGTTGCAAAATGTGATCCAGTCCGTTCGCCCATAGGACGATAAGGTTGGATTTTTTTAATGACGAATAATTAGCTTACCTTCCCTCTCGAGAAATGCACACAGTTTCTCGGAGATGATGGTTTCTTTAACTGTCAAAATAACAGAAGTGAGTTTGATTGAACGACGGTTAGTTGTATCCAAAGGTGCATCCCATTTTAGAATAGGAGCAGTGATGATATCCTTTTACTCATTGGGAAAAATTTGAGGTGAAAAAAGAAACAGAAAAGACAGCGTAGAATAAGGGCGAAATCTAGGTCACGTTTTTAGGAAAATAAGTGGAATGCCATCTAGACCAGGCTAATTGCAAACATCTAAACCATGAAGAGTTTGATGTATCTTGTTATTAGAGGTAGGACGGAGTGACTTGATGTGTGGGAGGAGGATTGATACAGAAAGTCGATGAATGAAGTGAAGAGGGAGTTGTCAATATTCTGATCCACAGGATACTTTCCATGGTTACACGCATTCAGATGTAGAGAAGTGGAATCAGAGAGTGCACCCATGCCAAAGCGCAATGTCGGTTCTAGTCAGTTGACAGCTGTTTATACACACATAGATATCGAGTAAGCAACACAGGAATGACTGGAAAAAATTCCGAGAAGCACACCCGGTTTCGCGGTCTTTACCGCTTGTCAGGTACGTGTATCCCGTAGTCTTCTGTCTAGTCATTTTTATACTTGAACTCCCGATGTGAATTATGCAACACAAATCTCGTTTGCAACTCGGGGAGTGGATTTGAGATGAACAAGTTTCAAAGATTTAGTTGAATGACGAGAATAACAATTTTTGTTTGCTTCCGCGTACAATTTTTTCATATTTTTTGTGTTCTCACACGCGGGGTGTAATTAAAGAACAATTGGACCAGAAAAATTGTCTACCACTTATTGATCCTTGAGCCGTATTATTTAAGTATCGTATCCCGCACGACAAATTCAATATCCGAGCTATCGAGAAACGAG